GATCGGAAGTTCAGGGAATAGATAACCTGGGAAAGGGTCCATCTCTGAGGTCCTAGGATGAAAACGATGCCAGGGGAAGCACGCAGAGATAAAGGAGGACTGAGCGGCAATGGCCTGTCTACCTTGATGTGTACCAGCAGGAACCTGGAGATGGCAAGGGAGCAGAGAAGAGTCAGAGGTGGTACTGGGTGAGAGGCGGGGAGAGAGGATTAGCATGTGTGGGAATAGCATTCTGGGAGTTCTGAATCTCCCCCCCCCCTCTCCGTCTTGCCACCTGTCCATCATCCATCATTACCTTCTCCACATCCTCTATCTCTTCATGAGCATTTTAAGATGCTAGTCATCCCTAACTTGAAGCTGGCAGAATAAGCAGCTCCAGGATGCACCTTCAGCTTCCTGGAAGATGCTGCCATACCTGCTCTTCATCAGCTGTCCTGTCTCTCAGGGAAGGAGTGCACACTGACTGCAGAGATGAAGTTCCTGCATCAGAAGCAGTGGCGTGTACGAGGTTCCTAAGTCATCTAGAAGCCTCTCAACTTCCTCGAGGTTCCAGTTGCTTGGTCAAAGAGTCCTGCCCGGATAATTACTCTCTTACTATAAAGAGATGCCCCTACTAACTGCAATGTAAAGAAAACTTGTTTCTTTTGGCTCACAGTTTGCAGGTACAGTCCATCATGGGGAGGAAATCATAGTGGTAAGAAGGTGGGGTAGCTGGCCACATGGCCGTGGTTGGGAAGCAGAGAGAGATGGACACTGGCTGAAGCTTGCTTTCTCCTTTGTATTCCGTCTAGGATCACAGCCTAAGGGATGGTGCTGCCCATAGTTGATGTGGCTTTTCATACCTCAGTTAACTGAATCTAGATAATTCCTGGAAGCTGTCTCCTAGGTGATTTCAGATCCTGTCATTGAGACAGCATTAGCTATCACACTGCCTTTGCCCAAGCCTCCCTCCCTCCTCCCCCCCCCCCCTCCTCTGCCTGCCCTGTCTTATCTCCAATGGATATCAACACAGTACACATCCTCAGCATTATCACTTTGTTCCCCTGTTAGATTATCACTCTGGTGAGGGCAAGGGTCGTTTCCTTTTTTTTTGCTCTTACATCCTCTGTTCTTCCTTGTCATTGTCACAGTGAATGTGGTCACTGTGACCACAGCCACCCTCTCACCAGTTGAGAGGGCTGTTTCTGGAAAATCCCTCAGAGATGAAGTATCCCCAGTCCCTTATGGGCATGGTAGAAGCTGCCTTTGAAGGTGGGTGGTTTGCATATCTGACAGCAGAGTCGGTTTTTTGTAACCTGTCCATTAGTCATGGGCACTGTGAACAGTGGGGCCAATTTCTAGCTCCGTTGGAAGCTCCATGTGACCAGGTGGCCACATGCCATAAGAGCTTGGGCATGAATGGAACATGTCACTCCTACTTGATGTCTGCCTCCCTACATCAGGTCACTTGTTCAGCTCATATTTCCCCCAGCACTAGATAAGAAATCCCAACCGTGCTCCAAAGGCACCAGCAAAGGGAGGGTAATCATATGGCAGTGTTTGCACAGAGCAGCTTAGGACCATGATCAACCACAGCTCTGAGCTTCCTGCTCTGTTTATACACCATACAGGGGAATGACTTGCTGTGCTCTGACAAATGTTTGAGGTGCCTCATGGCTTCTCCACCAGTCTCACGCAAAGGTCCTACAGGCATTGTACCCAAACCCAGCTTCAGTTTTCCCTGGTCAGAGTCAGAACTTTTATTCTGATTGGGTGAATGTTCCGCTCCCTCCTCAGACAAAGTTCCAAGGCCCAATTCCTTTTCAGTGCTGGCTCTGCTCCCTCTTCTCCAAGGGCCAAAGCTGTGGAAGAATGCTGGCAGGTGAGCTAGCCTACACAGTAGACCCATGTTCTCTGGGTCTGAAGACCACTTATGGCTGATTCTTGCAGGTGGGCATGTGCGTGAGATTCTCACTCTTTCAGGCAGGCCAAGGAGAAGCTTTCGTGGTGCCAAGGTCCCATTCTCCTCTCAGGCTCCAAGTGTCTATTGTGAATCCCCTGTGTTCTTCTTCTAAAGATTCCCTGCATCTTCCTAGATTTATGGATCCATCCTAAGACTATCGCAAGTGTCTCTCCCCTACCAGCACCCACTGGGTCCCCAAACAAACCAGAAGCTAAGAGAAGACCCTACCCAGCTACAACCCTTTTAACTCAGCCTGTCATACTCTGGATTTCTCAGGAATAAGCCAGCATCCAGCCCTGGGATGGTACTATAGACATTCAGAAAGAGCTTCAGGAAATGCTTAGCCCTGATGCTTGCCCCGCTCCACTCCTCTAAACTCACTGGGTCAAAATCTGCAGGCTAAGCCTGGAAGTTTGCACACAAGGATTCCCAAATAAAACATGGATCATCAGCTAAATGTGAATTTCAGTAGTAACTTTTTTTTTTCTATTTGAATGTCCTAACCAATGCATGGGATGTACTTAAATGTAAAAAAAAAAACAACAAAAAAAAACACATCATTTTAAATTGTGATTAACACCTATAATCCCAGCACTCAGGAGGCTAAGGCAGGATTGCTGGGAGTTCAAGATGGGCTGGGCTACTTAGTGGGTTCAAGCAAATCTAGGCTACAAAGGAAAACTCTGTATCAAAAAAAAAAAGCAAAAGAAAAGGGCATCACTAATTTTTACTCCTCTCCACATCCTTCTCAATGCCCCAAGCTGGTCTTCAAAGGTCAGAAGATCACTGGCTAGGACTTTGGTGACACCGCCAGGAGGATGTCATTCTAGTTGCCTCTGGAGCATCAGCTAGACAATGGTCCCTAAGTGATGTGGCTTATCCTGTACCTTCTTTTGAGTTTCTGTAGGTTCTTTCAGGCCCTAAGATTGCTTCCTCTACTTTGAGCCTCATGCTCATCCAGTTCTAGGGAGGAGGAGGAAGGTGTGCACTACAGGTTACCGCAGGCTTCTTGCCTTAGTTGCTATTCTGTTGCCATGAAAAGACACCATGGCCAAGTCAACTTATAGAAGAAAGCATTTAATTGGGGACTTGTTACAGTTTCAGAGGGTGAGTCCATGACAATTATGGTGGGATTGCGGTAGCAGGCAGGCAGGTAGGCAGGCATGACACTAGAGCAGAAGCTGAGAACTTGCATCCTGATCCTAAGGTAGCATGCAGAGGGAGGGAGACTGGGCCTCTGGCATGGGCATCTTTAGAAACCTCAAAGTCCACCCTCAGGGAAACACCTCTTCCATCAAGGCCATGCCTACTCTGACAAGGCCCTCCTTCCTAATCCTTCTCAAACAGTTCCATCAATTGGGAACCAAACATTGAAATATATGAGCCTACAGGGGGCATGCTTATCCAACCACCACACTTTGTAAGCATTTTTTATCTGTGATATCTTTTCACCAAAGTATATAAAACATATACAAATCAAATCTTTATTAATATACATAATATGTTTATTTTAAAATGACTCTGGGATACACATGATTTTCCCATTTACTAAAGATGAAAGCAAATTTGTATACTAGAGAGGTGGGTGAGCTTGCTTAGTTTCATACAAAGAATTAAATCTTGCCTGGTGTGGTGGTACCCATCTTTAATCCCATTTCTCAGGAGGCAGAGGCAGATGCACATCTGTGAACTCAAGGGTAGTCTGGTCTACAGAAAGCGTTTCAGGGTAGTCAGGGTCGTATAGCAAGACTGAGCCTCAAAAAAAAAAATCTTGACTGAACATTTGACAAACTATCTTCAATGTTTTTCAAGGTTGATAAACATTTTTGTTGCGTAATGTCCAGTGCTAAGAATGCAACTTCACGTAAACCTGTAGTACAAATGGCAGACGGGTTTTTTCAGAAAACCACCAAAAACTCTGCCTTAACCCCAAGCCGAAGTTCACTGACTAACCCGTCAAACTCATTAACTTCAACAGCAATTTTTAAAAAGTCAAATACTCTCGCCCAATACAATGCAAAGATATCCTAATTTGGTACTTACATGCAGAACAACAATGGCAGGGAAATATCAAAGCTCTCAGCTCCCCACCATAAAACTGTTTCTGTGAGAACTGAAAACTGTAGGTGCAATAAACACACCGCAGTCCGTGACATGTAGTAGCCTTGATGTTAACGCTGTGAACCGTGGCACACACAGTGCAAAGCATACATGTCATGTGTTGAAAACCACAGACATGGCCACCTCTCACAGGGCCACATAGACAAGCTCTGTCAGAAAGACTTCTGATCACAACTTCTTTTATTTTCATTCACTGTTACTCAAGTTTTCACAGCTCCCACATTCAGTCATGTGACCCCCACCTGGGGTCATGACCCTCAGGTTAAGAAGCTATGGTTTATTGATACTGTACTCTATGGGACTGTGTGGGTTCCATGGGACTGGGTCCCATGGCTCTCTGCTCCCTGGGACATGGAGAGATGATGGAGATTTCCTACGTTGTGGACATGGGTGGTAGGTGTATCAGGGTTTCAGAGGAACATAACCAATAGAATACATGCGTATCAAAAATGAATACATGTGTATTAAAAATGAATACATGTGTATCAAAACTGGAACTTCTTAGATTGACACAGTGTGGGCTGTGTAGCCCAACAACGGCTATCAGCATGCCAAAGAGGCTGAGAATCTGGTAGTTATTTAGTCGACAAGAATGTCTGTCTCAGCAAGGCTTATCTAGTGCCCAGTCTAGCGGCCAGTTTGCAAGCCTCACCTGACTTTTTACAGGTATACCCCAATGTGGTAGGCTCCCCAGAAAGAGAAGTTCATGAACCTTAAGAAGAAACAGTTACAACGGGACCAAACACCAAGTGTCTGAAGAGGGCTGGGTGGTAAGGATGGGAATCAGGCCAACTGTAAGGGATGTTCCAAGGGGAAATTCTTCAAGGGTGAAGTCCTCGGTGAGGCATCACAGAAAGACTATGACTTAAGAGGAGACTTCGTGACTTCGTGTGAGGTCCCAACACAGCCATTGTGACATCAATAGCCTGGCAGCTTAAGGAATCTGAGCAGCCAGCTGGCACCATGGACTCAGCCTCCTAACATCCAGCACACAGCCCAGCCAGGGCCATGATCCTGCCCTCCATTCTGCTGCTTGTTGCCCACACCCTAGGAGCAAATATTGGTACGTGGACTTCTCTCCCTCTGGCCAGAGTTGCTGACCCAAGTAGGGCCAGCCAGGACACCTGCTCTCTTCACCTTCCTTCATCCTGTCATCCTATGTGGTGAGCATTAAGGACAAAGGAAACAGCGGCCATGACCCATGAGTTAGTTAGTGGGCCACCAGGAGGTCACCTCCAAGAGCACAGACCCCTCACCCACCCCTTTTTGGGGATACCTGTCTAATCTTGGAGTTTCCAAGTTTTAGGTTGGAAAATTAAAATTCTACCCCACCAATACCAATGAATGAGGAAGTTCCCAGAGCTTGGGCCAGGAAGTAATCAAGTGACTTAACTCCCCGCCCTACGCTTAAATACTCTGACAAAAGCCACTTAAGGGAGAAAGGGCTTCTTCTGGTTCACAGTTCAAGGGTGCACAGACTATCATGGATGGGAAGCCGAGGGGCTGGGAACTTGGGGCAGTTGGTCATACCACACCTGCAGAGAGAAGTCCAAGAGAATGAGAGCATGCTGCTAACTAACCCCGTTCTCCTCTTAGACAATCCAGATTTATTTTACAACTTCAGGGTGGAGGAAATTAGCCCAAAGCCACAACCACAGGGACACAGCGTTGACTTGCACCAGTCTGAGCAACACCCAGACTTCCTTCTGGTGCTCTTTACACTGCCTCTGAGCTGAGACAACCTGTCTCTCCCCAGCCTTCAGAGTGGCCTGGGAACACATCATGGAATAAGGCATGGGACACCTTTGGCAGAACTTGTCCCTCCGGAGTCCAATGGGAAAAGACTCCAAGTTGCCAAATGACTTCTCACCGTGGAAGCTGCTGACATTACCTTCAGGCTTTGTGTTCTGGCGACTTCCATGTTGGCCTCGTGGGGTGTTCCCAGGACCAAAGATGTGGAAAGTGGGGTTTGTCTGGCAGTCCCATGGGGACTTCGGCGCAAAGTGGTTCCAAGAAGTTCTGAATCAACTGTGGCTTGAGGATTGTGCTCTGTGCCAAGCACTTTGACAGACACTTCAAATACCATCGTCACATCTGAGCCGTAGGCTAGCCTGATGGGTGGAGTGCTTCAGACCCATTTTAGGGATGAGATAAGAGAGGAGATAAACAGGGCTAAGGAGTGTCTCCTCGAGTCGTTGGACAAGGAGATCACAAACCAGCCTCTGCTGTCTGCAACTAGGGTCCTAGCGAGTTCTGTAGCTGCATCAGAGAGAGGCCTGGCATCGGCACTCAGTAGTCAGGCAAGCCCCTCTGTGGGGATATCCTGATACATTGGCTCCCACACACGCACATCTACATTTGTATCAAGATAAATCACATAAGGCTCAAATAGGATTTCTCTTTAAGTTATTACATTTTAATGTGTGTGTGTGTGTGTGTGTGTGTGCGTGTGTGTGTGTGTGTGTGTGTGTGTGTGTGGTGTGCTGTGTCTCATAGTACTCATGTGGAAGTTATAGAGCAGCTGTGGGAATCCGCTGTCTTCCCCTGGGGTGGAACTAAGATGGGAAGGCTCGGCAACAGTGGTTTTACCCACTGAGCCTTCTCACTGACCCCCTCAAATCTGATTTTTATCCTGATCTTTTCATTCACGTTTTAATCCCAAGTACCTCCCCCACATCATTAGAAACTCGCCACGAGCCTCATTTTCACAGCTGAGAAATAGTTCAGGGCACAAATACCATGACATCAGCTTGTCTCCCATCTGTTGCTATAATGAAACCCCCAGAAGGGACATCTTCCAATAGGCAGATTTTTCCCCTTAAGACAGTTCTAGCATAGGATCCTTCAGTCAGAGGCTCGAGTCCTTTGATTGTTGAGTGCATCTCTCACAAGTATGGCCCATCCTCAAGACACAGCATCACCAAGCCATGCATGTTGCCTTCTCCACTTGGATCTGGCATTCTGGGGTCAGTGGCAGACAGAAGCACTGCACAATCATTGTAACGCAACGGCAACACCTGAGGCTGCATAGACGAAAAGGTTGGCCAGGGCAGAGGTCAGGCCGGAGGAGGCGTCACTGAAGAAATGATGCTTCCGGGGGAAGCCCAAACAACGAGAGCAAGCGGGCAGTCGAGGCGTGAACATTCCAGGCAGAGTGACCTGGCTTTAGGTCTCGGTCAGGCTACTGACCAGGCTGGGTGCCCTTAGACGAGTTACGTAGCCTATGTCTGGGGTCACACGGCTTCAGGGTGATCACAAGAACTTTGAGTTTATCTTCCTACAGTGCCTAGAACAGTGCCAGATACAAGGTGAGCACCGCGAGCGTGTTTGGCGACCAAAATGAACGGTGAGGCCCAAAGCCCCAAGAAAATATCTATGTATTACAGACAGCTTAAGGCTCTGGACAAGCACTGCTGAAGCCAGGCTTCCTCACACAGCCCAGTAGTTGCCATCTCTGTCCCCAGCTGCTGAGTGGCACAACATGGACCAGATGGCACTAATGAAGGCTTCTAGTGGGTTCCAGCACTTTTCATGACTTCTTGGGGGTCTTATGAACCTCTTCCCTACCCGGGACTCTGTCCCATCAACACAGGCTAAGTGGTTTAAGTCACACCAATTTTGCCTCACTGCTCTGTAGGGTAGAAGTGCAGTGTGGGGATCCCAGGGTGAAAGCAACCGTGGATGGGACTGTGTCCTGTCTGAGCACTGGGGTAGAACTGCCCCTGTCTGTGTCCTGACATTGAGTGGCTTGTCTGGGCCTCTGCTTCCTTCATTGGAGCCGGCTTTGCAGTCTCTCTCTCTCTTCATTGACTCTCCCTCCTGTGTGTGTGTGTGTGTGTGTGTGTGTGTGTGTGTGTGTGTGTTTGTATGTTCAGGGCAGCGCACACATGTATGCACATGTGTATAAAGGTCATGGACAAACTCAAGTGTTGTGCCTCAGGTACTGTCCACCTTGTCTTTTGTGACAGGGTATCATCACTGGCCTAGAACTCACCAAGTAGGTGGGCTCGCTGGCCAGTGATCCCCCAGGTTTATGCCCATCTTTGTCTCCCCAGCACTGATATTAGAAACACACCACCATACTTGGATTTTTTTACATGCGTTCTAGGGGTTCCAACTTAGGACCTTGTGCTTGCATGGTGAGAACTTTGCCAACTCCCTACCCCTGCCTCTATTTTCTTCAGGGCCTTTATGGTGACAAGACCATGTCACTAGCCATGTGAGGGTCAGCAGACTAATTTCACCCCACAAATCTCTGTTGCGTTGGCAGGGGAGCTATTTGCCAGTCCTGTGACATGGCTACTAGACCTGGCGTGTCCCTCTGGTCATCACGTTTTGCTCCCCACACTGGAGTTGGCCTTTAAAAGCGTTTTCTTCCAGGCTCACTGGGTAGAAGCAGGCTTGGTAAAGTTGCCAGCCTGAGACCCCATGAAGAATGTAGACACAGCCAACACCTTCACCCCCACTCCATCTAGAGCCACGGGCTCCTTCCTATCACAGTGGGGAAACCTTGGTGTCCTGGCCTCAGACCATCCCCAGGGATTTCTCCCCCATAGCTAGACCCAGCCAGTCCTGACAGAGGTTGACGGATGATATGGTTTTACCTTTGGTTTTCGTTTCCTGCAGAATGTGGTACGAGACCCCTGTATGACAGCAAAACTCGACACTCCAGGATCATAGGAGGGCAGGAGGCTGAGGTGGGTGAGTTTCCATGGCAGGTGAGCATTCAAGAAAAGAGACATCATTTCTGTGGCGGCTCCATTCTCAGCGAGTGGTGGATCATCACCGTGGCCCACTGCTTTTATGATGAGGAGGTTTCGTAAGTATTGAGGGCCCAGCTCATCCGGGGGTGGCACATTCTCAGCCACACATGGGCTGTGAGAAGAATCCTGGTACAATTACTTCCTAGGCAGACAAAAATGACTCCCTTCCTCCCCAGTATCAGTCTGGACACCAAACTGAGACAGTGCCTGTGGTCACCCCCTGTCCCTTTCAGGGACCCCTGCAGCTGACAGAGTCAGATGGCTTGGCCCCTTACCTCTCCGAAGGCATTCAAGTGCTCCTAGAAGGAAGTTCTAACACTTCCCATCTGGTCTCTTTGGCTGTCTGTTGCCCCCTTCTTGGTTCTTATGGAGACTGATTTGTCCTAGGCCATCAGTGGGCACCTAGGATTGACTGGCAATTACCCATGCACCAAGGTCTTTGCCTGAACTTTTCTTTGATACTAATTCATTTGACTGTACAATGACCTCTGAAAAGTGGTGAAAGAAACCATTATGTTGTAGATAGGAGAACCAAGGTCTGATAAATGTATATAGCTTGCCCAAGTGCATACCCAGTAGACAAAGGCAGGAAGGAAATTCTGGCTTTTACCTTCAACTCATTTATAAAGTTAAGAAAACTGCAGGAAAAGGAGGCATAGCTTGTAATCCCAACTACTGGAAACCCAAGGCAAGAGGAACACTCACTTGAGGCCAGCTAAGGCAGCTAAGTGAGAGAGGCCTTGTCTCAACATAATAAAATAAGATACAGAATGGGATGTAGGACGGTACAGAGGTCATGATTTTGCCAAACAAGTTTGATCTCAGGGGTTCTATCTCGAGACCCACCAAAACCAAGGATGCTAGCTCCCACTCTTGAAGGAGACTCAGAGACTGGTTAGGATAGCTAAAGACCCGGACCATCTCACCTGATTGCTGCTTTGCTCAGGAAGTCCTTTCTGTGTGGCCAGTGCATGCTCCAGATGAAACTCTGGTCCTCATTTCTAAATGGTCGGCGGATCTAATGACATCAACAGTGATTGCTGATTTGCGTGACAGCACCTTGGCACTCTGACAGCTGGTTTGCTCTATAGCAATCGGTGCTTTGGGGGTGTCTTAGTTAGGGTTACTCTCGCTGTACTGAAGCACCACAATCAAAAGCAACTTGGGGAGGAAAAGGTTTATTTATCTTACACTTCCACATCATAGTCCTTCCCTGAAGGAAGTCAGGACAGGAACTCAAACAGGGCTGGATCTGGAGGCAGGAGCTGATGCAGAAGCCATGTAGCTTACTGGCTTGCTCCCCGTGGCTTGCTCAACCTGCTTTCTTACAGAACCTAGGTCCAGCCCAGAGATGACACTGCCTATAATGGGCTTGTCCCTCCCCTATCAATAAATAAGAAAGTGTTTTATAGGCATGCCTACGGCCTGATCTTATGAAAGCATTTTCTTAACTGAGGTTCCTGCCTCTGGATGACTTTTGCTTGTTATCAAGGTGACATAAAACTAGGCAGCAAAGTGAGGGGTGGGGAATCTTCAGAGAGCCCATACTGAAATCTGTTTCTGTTCTGTTAAACACAAAAATCTCATTCAGGTCTGGAAACCTGAAGGTCACAAGTCTACTCCCTGTGTTACTGTCTGGATGTGTCATGTCACCCGCGGGTTTATGTGTCCGAACACTTGGTATCCAGGCTGTGGTGCTGTATTGGGAGATTGGGGAACCTTTAGGAGATGGGAGAGTAAATGGAAGAAGTGTGTCACTGGGTGGTGGACCTTGAGAACTCAGCCCACTTCCAGCCACAGTCTCATCTGCTCCTCTTTAATACAAATGTAGGCACGTAGCCTCACCCTCTCGTGCCATGCCTTCTCTGTCATAGTGGACCAAATCTTTTTGTCAATTAATTTTATTGAGCTATACATTTTTCTCTGGTCCCCTCCCTTCCTTTCCCCTCTCTTTAAACCCTCTCCCATAATCCCCATTTACTAATTTACTCAGAAGATCTTGTCGTTTTCTACTTCCCATGTAGATTAGATCCATGTGTGTCTCTCTTAGGGTCCTCAGTGTTGTCTAGGTTCTCTGGGATTGTGAGTTATAGGTTGGTTTTCTTTGATTTATGTCTAAAAGTCACTTATGAGTGAGTGAGTATGTGGGATATTTGTCTTTCTGGATCTGGGTTACCTCACTCAATATGATGTTTACTAGCAAATTTCAAGATGCCATTATATTTTTCTGCTGTGTAGTACTCCATTGTGTAAATATGTCACATTTTTCTTATCCATTTTTTGGTCAAGAGGCATTTAGGTTGTTTCCAGGTTCTAGCTATGACAAACAATGCTGCTATGAACATAGTTCAGCACATGTCCTTGTGGCACGATTGAGCATCCTTTGGATATATATCCAAAAGTGGTATTGCTGGGTCTTGAGGAAGGTTGTTTCCTAATTTTCTGAGAAATTGCCATTCTGATATCAAAAGGGGCTGTACCAATTTGCACTCCCACCAGCAATGGAGGCGTGTTCCCTTTACCCCACATCCTCTCCAGCATAAGTTGTCATCAGTGTTTTTGATCTTGGCCATTCTTACAGGTGTAAAATGGAATCTCAGAGTTGTTTTGATTTGCATTTCTCTGGTGGCTAAGGATGTTGAGCATTTCCATAAGTGTTTTTCAGCCATTTTATATTCCTCTTTTGAGAGTTCTCTGTTTAGGTCTGTACTCCATTTTTTATTGTATTATTTGTTTTTTTGATAACCAATTTCTTGAGTTCTTGTATATTTTGGAGATCAGACCTCTCTCTGATGTGGGGTTGGTGAAGATCTTCTCCCATTCTGTAGGCTGTCATTTTGTCTTGTTGACCATGCCTTTTGCTTTACAGAAGCCTTTCAGTTTCAGGAGGTCCCATTTATTAATTGTTTATCTCAGTGTCTGCGCTGCTGGGGTTCTATTTAGGAAGTGATCTCCTGTGCCAATGCGTTCAAGTGTACTTCCCACGTTCTCTTCTATGAGGTTCAGTGTGGTTGGCTTTCTGTTGAGGTCTTTGATCCATTTGGACTTGAGTTTGTGCATGGTGACAGATATGGATCTATTTTCATTCTTCTACCTGTTGATATCCAGTTATGCCAGCACCATTAAATATGCTTTCTTTTTTCCATGCATGATACTTTTTGCATCTTTGTCAAAAATCAGATGTTTGTAGGTGTGTGGATTAATATCTGGGTCTTCTATTCAGCTCCATTGGTCCTCCTGTCTGTTCTTATGCCAATACCAGGCTGTTTTCAGTGCTGTAGCTCTGTAGTAGAGTTTGAAGTCAGGGATTGTGATCCAAATCTTAAACTGAGGCCAAATCAGCTTCCCCTCTCAGAGTTTCTTGTCAAATACTTAATCACAACAGCAAGGAAAGTAGACAACGCGCCCTTTCTGCATTCTTTCAATCTTTAAACCTGCTGAGCAGCTGCCCCAGTAGGACAAGGCCTTGGAGGCTTCTAGAACTACAGTGGGTGTAGAGGTTTTGGACCCCTTGACTTCTGTTCATTCGGGCTTCCTTTCTTCTTCTTCCTTCCCTCTTGTTCTGTGCCCCCAGCCCGATAGAACTGACGGTCAAAATGGGAACCAATGACTTAGCTGCCTCACCCATGGAAATACAGGTTGCCAACATAATTCGCCACAAAAACTTTAAAAGAGCCAACATGGACAACGATATTGCCTTGCTGCTGCTGGCCAGCCCTATCCATTTCAACGACCTGACAGTGCCCATCTGCCTGCCTCTCCATCCTGCCCCTTCCAGCTGGCATGAATGTTGGGTGGCAGGATGGGGCATAACCAACTCAGGTATGTGACTGCCCGGGGCTTCATGGGAACTACAGGATCTGGGGGAGCTGTGATATAGGACAAGAAAGATGAGAGGGTGGTGGAGAGGCTTTCAGGGAAGGAAATCTCCACACCCTGGGCTCTTGGGAGCCTTGGCTCAGTCTCCTCTGGGTGCTAGAGAGATGCTGTGGCTGAGATGCCGGCTCTGGACCAATCCCTGGGTGTGGTCAGCCAACACAGAATGGTCCTGTTTAATGGAATTTCAACCACCATAGTTGTCCAAAGGCCCCTGTGTTCTATCCTTAGTTCTCACATAGTAATGTCTCCTACCTGGTTCCTACAGGTTTTCATGATGCCCGACCCCAGGCTAGGCTTCTAATGCTACTCAAATGTTGTCCAGTCACTCTTAGAAGTTAATGTTAACATTTGCGACAGGTCAGGCTGCTACTTAGTCAAAATAGGAAACGTGTGGAGCAGGAATGTGTGAGGAAAACCCCACTTGACTGTCCCTGTAAGAAACCCCTACAAAAGTCAAGCAGTGAGTAGGAGATCGGAACCACACAGCCTACAGCTGAAGCAAGCCTCAGGCCCGCGACGATGCCTCCCATGAACTGAGCCTGGAATTTGGCTTCTCTCAGCAGTTTAGCAGAGGGAGACAGGTAGAACATGGCTGCTGGTTCCAGACAAGACTTAGAAGTAGGGAAGGAGGTAGATGGTGACCTACAAGGTTATAGGCCCCTGGGAGGGAAGCAACTGTGAATTTCTGTGGTGAGAGTTGAGACATTCAGGCAAATTCCTGCTCCTGGAGGCCAAGACACTGGTTCCTGTCACCCCTTCTGCTCTAATAATTTTTGTGTGGAACCAAAATATCACCCAGAAATGTGTGAGAAGAAAGGGCTATTTTGTCTCAGGGTTTTAGGAGTCTTGGTCCGTTATTTGGGAAAGGCTGGGCATAGCAGCTCTGAGCCCAGGGGTGATAGGAAGCATGGGGTACAGTGCCATAAGCCCAGGGAGAAGAGAACAGGACAGAACCAGGGAGCAAGAATCACCATCAAAGGCCTGGCCCAAGAGACCTACTTCTACCGGCTAGGCCCAGCCCCATAAAGGTTCCACAGCCTCCAAAATCAGCCCCATCTGCTGAGAAACAAATGTTCAGGTGTGGGTCTATTCTGAGACACAGTTCATATTTAAACTGTGCACCTCCTAAAGATCCAGCCAGGAGCTAGAGAGATGGTTCAGTGGGTAAGTTACAGACTGCTCTTGTGGGGTGAGGGGTGGGGTAGAGGGTTGAGTTCAGTTCCCAGCACCTATGCTGAGAGGTTCACAACTGCCTGGAACTTCAGCTCCAGGGGATCTGATGCCCTTTCCTGGCCCCTGTGGGCACTCACTCTTGTGCTTGTGCACACACAGATACAGATACACACATACATACATATGTACATACACACTACATATATATATACACACACACATATATATATATATATATATATATATGTGTATATATATAGTTTAGATCTTTGCAAAAGACAATCCAACCAATCTATCAGTGCTGGAAATCATAATCATAATTTTTTTCACTATGGTAAAAATGTGTTCTCAATGGCCTGGTAGCAGAGATGGTGACTAGGAATGGAGGGTTGTACTTACGCAATAAATGATTGGGATGGAAATTTCCTGGGGTTGTCAAATCCCGGAGCTGGGTGGAGATGATCCGGAAGAGGACTCAGATTCTAAATGAGAGGAGGCAGGAGGCAGGGTTAAGTAGAACAGCTTAGGTGATGGTAGATAAAGTTCAGGTATAGGTTATCCGAAGGCTGTGAATACTGAGTCTATGATTAGCGTGAAGGAGAGTGTTTGGGGCTGGTTCAGGAGGGTATGTGGCTCTCCCCAGACCAAATCAGCTTCATTGTCTGCATAAGGACCCCACACACACCTGGTGGCTTTCCCGATGTGCTTTCTCTCTATGCCAGACGACAAATCATCTATGACAACCGACTTGATGAAGGTGCCAATGCGTATTACGGACTGGAAGGAATGCACGAAGGTGTTTCCAATGCTGACCAACAACATGCTGTGTGCTGCGTATGATAACGAGAGCTATGATGCTTGCCAGGTAATCATAACCTGCCAGCAGCCCCTCCCTCAACCTACAGCCCATAGGTGTCTTCCTTGCAAGAGTGTCTCCCTCCCCTGGGAATAGATTAAGATTCTAGACTGTAGGCTCTGGAAAGGGCTCAGTCAGTAAAGCAAGCATGAGGACCTAAGTGCGGTCCCCCAAACCCATGGAAAACAAGACAGACATGGTTACACACACTTGTATTCTCAGTACGGAGAAGGTAAGAGACTCCCTAGGATTCCCAGGCCAGCCAACCTAACAAGCAACTCCAGGCTACCGAGAGAACGATCTATCTCAAAACAAAACAAACAAACAAAACCAAGCAAAACAAACACACTGAAACCAAAACAAAAAGTCCGACAGTAGTTAGTGGACACGATGTCTGAGAGACCAGAGCTGAGGTTGTTCTCTGGCCTCTGTACACGCTTGAGCCTATGTGTACACTCAGAAGTACTTATATGCACACACATGCACATGCATGCACACACATTCACATGCATGCATGCATGCACACACACACACACACACACACACACAGAGTCTGAAAAACACATGGACATGGGGCCTTGAGCCACAGGGACTTAGAGTCTTTGAGTGAAGGCTGTGCACGCAGTAAGCCCTGACACTGTTGACGCCCACCTGCGTGTCAGCACGCAACAAGTCCACAGACGATTTCAGGTTTCAGGGTCACTAAGTCACAGGACTCCACCATTTCCACCTGTCTCTGCCTCCCTGACACTGGAGTTGCAGACTTATGCCACCATGCCTCGCTTTCTTAATGTAGAATCTGGGAGTCAAAGTCTAGTCTTGTCCTGACACAGCCCTCCCCACAGCGTGCGTGTGCTTGCTTCTCTGCCCTTTCCAGAGCCCGCTTTGAAAAAACTCACATCCCTGAACCACTTTTCCTTCTGCCTATCTTTTGGACTCTCTGGAGTTTCTTTCTCATCAAGTCCTCTTTCCTGGACCCTGCACACTGCTGGCCTTAGATGGTGCCCCCATGACTCCATAAGGTACTCGTGAGCAGCACATCTCTCCCACGGGGCCAGGATGAAGTAGTTACCTTGGTCAGTGGTAACACAGGATGGAGTAGTTACCTTGGTCAGTGGTAACAAAATTTATCTGACAAATTTGAGTAGGCAAAGCCAATGGAGCTGTGCCTGGCCTCAATGGACAACTTAAGGTGGACTTAATAGTGCGCTGTGTTCTCTGCCCACAGGGAGACAGTGGGGGACCGCTTGTCTGCAGTGCAGAGCCTGGCAGTAGGTGGTACCAGGTGGGCATCATCAGCTGGGGCAGGAGCTGTGGACAAAAAGGCTCCCCAGGAATATACACCGTGCTGTCGAACTACACCCAGTGGATTGAGAAAATAGCCCAAATAGAGGGGAAGCCCCTGAATAGTGAGCCTTGGAGGGTCTCTGTCAAGAAGAAAGCCGGAAATCACAGTCAATTCTCCAAATGTCCAGCATTGAGCTATCCCCAAAGTTGGCTTCTGCCCTATCTTCTGTCATGTGTGTTGCTCAGAGCCCTGTCCAACTGGGAATAGAGAGATGCAGTCTCTAACCCCTGGCATGTATGTGAGACTATGCTTTGGGGTTGGCTACAAACCTGAGCTGACATCAAGAAGCTTGGGGGGAGGACAGAAAGAGGAGGACCCCAAAGATAGGCTAGAGCCCTGGTTCAGGGACTGAATGCAGATACAGCCAGATGGAATATACTAGTGACAGCTCACTCTGGTGAACCTGGTTCTCACTCTTGGTCACCTGTCAGGTTCCAGGTAACTTCTGGTGGGAGGGACCATCTCTAGCTAGAACAAATAAATCTCTAGATTTGTTCAGATAGTAACTGTGAGACTTTTCATTCTGAAGTCCCTTTCTACCCATCACCTTTGGAGGCTGAAGAAATGGCTCAACCACGTAATGTGAACTCACCTGAGTTTGTTAAAAGATCTCAAGAATTTATTCAGATATAAAATCAGGGTATTTTGGTATAAAGTGGGGATAAACACTGGTACAGAATAGATTAGATGCCACCAGTGACTATTAACCTGTAATTCTTAATAAGCTATATAGCTTAAAGACTAAAGCTTCACATTATAAAAACAAACACTCTTCAGACAGATGTGCAGCATAAGGACAATGATCTCAGAATTGTGAGAATATATAAAAAATCTTAATCAGAGGTAGAAATGTATAGTGCAATACGACAAAAATGTCCTTAATATGTACCAATAAACAAAATATTATAAATAGAAGTAGAAACATATATGACAAAATAAATTTACATTTGTATCAATATACAAAAATGTTATAAACAGAAGTAGAAACATATACAATATGACAAATATAATTTTGAATTTGTATCAATATACAAATTATCTTAAACAGGAATACAAAAATATACATTTGTATGGATATACAAAAATCCATACCAATGCAAATTATCTAAAATCAATAGTTATTAATATAGTTTACAAGTAGATACAATACCTTATTATCCTATCCTATCTAATCCCCCTTTTTCTATACCAAATGAGATTCCTGAGTATAATTTGTATTGTTCCACCTCCAACCCTATAAGAACTTATAAGTTACCCTTACAGATAACAATTATCCAACCTTGAGAGAAATCAGAAACTGTTGGGAGAGGGGGGTGTCATATTCTTAGAATTACTTCCAGTTGTCTAGGGGGTGATTATATCTCTTTGCGATCCTGGAAAAAAAAACTAAAATAATGGTTTGGGGTCCTGTAAAAAAAAAAAAAAAACAAAACAAAAAAAAAAAACCTAAAATAATGGTTAAGTCTCATGAGGACTAGCTGTAACATTTGTAGCCAGTCTCTGAGTAATGATTAACAGGTAAGTCTTATCTGGAGTTCTGGCTAGAGTGTTGGAAGAAGGTGGACCATCTCAGCTAGTCACCTTATAACTGTCCTGAGCAGTTGGGCAGTCCCACACGGATAGTTTGTTGTCCAAAGCTAATCTTCGAGAGGTGTTTATCAGTTTAATGACATTATTGTGGACCAGGTCTAGTCGTTATGGAATGATTCATATTCCTGACGATTTCTTGTAATTGTATAAATAATAAAACTAATTCTGACTCATCAGAAATAAGTTCAGCAGTTTCAATATGTAAGACAACTCTTTCTGCATATTGAGAGTCAGTAACTATATTGAGAGGTTCTGTAAAATCCATTAGTACCATGAGAATGGCATACAATTCTGACTTTTTCACAGAATCATAGGGGATGTACGCCTCTCTACTTACGTTTTCTGATTTGTAAACTGCCTTTCCTGATTGATTTGCATCACTATAGAACATAGCACCTCCAGAGATTGGTGTTCCCCATATAACGTGAGGAAGGACCAAACTGGTTCTTTTTATGAGCTTAAGTCTCTCGCTTTGGGGATACTTGTTGTTAATCTCTCCCCAAAAAATACTGCAAGCTCTTTGCCAGTTTTCATTTTCTGCCCATAAAGAGGAAATTTTCTCTTTAGTAAAAGGTACTTTCTGCAGGGTCCATTCCTGTCAGTTGACAAAGTCTTAATTTTCCTTTTAGAATCAAATTAGAAACCTTATCCACATATGTCTATAATTTCTTCCTCTGTTTGGGTGGTAAAAGTATTCATGCCCAATAATATCTTTCTGCGGTGAAGAGTGCCAGCTGCTCTTGCTGAAGACCCTGGTCCAGTTCCCGTATTCCCCGGGGCTGCTCATAACTACCTGTAACTCTAGCTCCAGGGGATCAAATGCCCCCTTCTGGCCTCTGTGTGCTCCTGCACACTATGGGTACACATTCAGACGCTCAGGCACACACACATAGACTTTTTTTTAAAAGTCAAACCAAAGGGAATTTAGAAATGTTTATTTATGAAATGGGAGAATAAGTCACAAAGGAGTAAAGTGACTTGACCGAGGTCACATGGCTTTTACATCTAACTGGTGGCTTTAATCTCAACCCCCTGTTCATCTGGTTAAGAAACTGAGGTTTGGGATTGGGAAGAGACTCGCTCTAAATGAGTGAAGACGACTTGGAGCCTGTGATAACTACTGAGCTTCCCACGGGCTTCAGTCAGCTCTCTGAGGAAACCCTCCTGTCACTCAGTGGGGACCCAGCCGTAGACAGGCAGTCCTCACTTTAGGAGTCTGCTGATGCATCAGCAGAAATAACACTGTGCAGCCCGGGGACCTTTGCACCTGTGGGCTTCTCTGTCTGCAGAGGACTCCAGAGCACCTTGGGTTTCTCTGCCTTCCTGGCCAATGACCCCAGGGACGTATTCTGGGCTGGCAGATCTCAGGTTCTCCAAAGAGTGAACAGGCAAGTGGAGAAAGAAGGTGGCAGGTGCAGAAAGGTGGCATGTGTCTGATTGGGGGTGTGGCTAATCAAACAATCCCTGGGAGGCAGACTTCTGAACAGGTCAGTGAGGAAGCTTTCACATTCACTAACTGAGATGGGAAGACCCAGCCTGAATATGGATGGCTCAGATCCAAGTGCTGGAGGCCTGTCTGAGTAAAAAGGAGAGTGAGCCGAGCACCAGCATCCATTGCTGTTTCTTCACAGTGGATGCCATGTGACCAGCTGCCTCCCGCTCCTCCTGCCCCTGTGCCCGTCTAGCCATGATAACTATGCCCTTAAACTCTGAGCCAGAATTAACCCTCCCTAAGTCCCTTTCTGTCGGATCTTCCGTACCAGCGCATGGGTCTTTAAGAATGCCATTAAGGTGAAAAGAGGTCACGAAGGAGACCAAGTCTAGTGTGGCTCTTGTCCTTAAAGAGGAAATCTGGACCCAGACAGGGAGAGAGGGAAGACCAAGAGCTCAGACTTGCAGGAGTGAATTTGCAGTTGAAGCCCCAATTTAAGAGCTTGGGATCTTATGACCCTACTCACAATGTCATCCCCCAGTCTGGCTGCCCAGCTGACAGGCAGCAAGAGGACAGTGCTGAGAACTGATGATTCTCTAGACCATAGGCTCATGGCACTGTTCCCTCTGCCCACACTGCATTGTCACCATTCCCAAAACATGTCATTGGGATGGTCTCCTGGCCTCTCGGGTGCCCAGAAGAGAAAGCATAAGACAACTGTTCAGTGTGAAGCCAGAAGCACCCTCTGCAGAGTGTCCCCACTCAGGAGCTGATCTTTAAAAAGTCTCTTATTTTACTGAGTTTCTGAGCCCCCAAAATAGAATGAACACATCTGTTTGCTAATCTGCCATACAAAGGCAGAGGAGACCAAACGGGGCCTTGTGTGTGTGTGTGTGTGTGTGTGTGTGTGTGTGTGTGTGTATTATAGAGTATTAATGATGGTAGCCTATTGAGCTTCTGTTTTGGTAAGGCAAGAATAGAGATATACACAGTAAAACTGCCCACGAGACAGCATAAGCAGTTACAGCAAATAGTAACTGTCTAGAGAAAACATATCTGATGGCCGTGAGTCAGTCATCAAACATTTGCTGAATCAGGTCCCTCTGTGCCAGCCACCTGGATGAAGCCGGGAGCAGGATGCTTGCCCTCCATGTTGCTAGGGGGACAGACATATTGCAAAAATGTCACTGCGGGTGACAGGTAGAGACAGCACAGGAGAGGGGAGAAAGGCTGGGCCTGGGCTGGACAACTCCTTTGTAGTGGTTCTTAGAGAGAGCTCACAAAGAGAGGGGAGTCTGGGGGAAGTTAAGGACAGACTAGGCCAACAAGCTGCCAAGACCGGCCTGGCGGGGCTGTCATTTCCAAAAGAGGCCACGAGATGGCAGAGTGCTTCAAGACAGGCAGTCTTCTCCAGCCTACTTGGGAAGAACTCTGGTTCCTATCAATGAGGACTCTCTCTGAGTGACAGGACACCCAAGGGGTGACAGACCCGCCCTGGAGTAAAAAAGGAATTAGGAGGTCCTATGCTGTGCCGGGCAATTGCTGGGAGCTTTGCAGCAGCCTCCACTCAATCCCACAAGCCAGCGCCGGCCCTGTTCCATTGTAGCTGAACTGCATCTCAGCTGGTGTCATCCTTAACGCAGAGGTTTCTCTCTGCTTTCATAGGGATACTGCCCCTGGAGGTTGAAGTCCTGGGTTGATGGGGCCAGGCCCAGCAAGTACCCAACCTTTTCACCTCTGGCTTGACCTCAATGCCCTTGATCTCAAGCCTGTGTCCACTTGGAGTGTCTCAGATCAGTGAAGAAAAGAAAACTAGCATGCTAGAGCCAGAAAAGAGCAGGATATGGCGGCCAGAAGCTCGTTCTCAGCAAGTCTGTGAACTGCATGCTTCTTTCCTGTAGGATAGAGAGGTCGGCGCAGCCTGGCCCCAGCTTTGTGCCGGTGAGAAGGAGTATAGCAGTAACCTCCAGGCATCCCAGATCCTCAGAGGCACATGGCTCTGAGAGGAACTGTCAGGTCAGAGTCACCACAAGGTCAGCGTGGAGTGGAGAACATAAGGCCTCCACATACAGGCAGGGCTGCAGCAGAGGCACCAAAAGATAATCCAGGCGCCTCGGATACAGGGTCTGCTGTTCTGCTCACCACCACTTGGTGGCAGTCACTAACTGTGGGTCTTAGGGGGTTTTGTTGTTCATGGTGTGAGGTTTCTTGGTTTTGTTTTTAAATGGGTGTTAACTATGTTGTTTGCTCTGACCTTGAACTTGGTTCTTTCAACCTCTGGAAGGCTGAACCACGATTTCCCCGCTAACTGCCATGTTTCAAAAGAAGAAAGAAAAGAAAAATGCCAAGATGTTCTGGGTTCTGTGACTTGTGCTGGGAATGCTAATGTAGCTTCTAGGACTTCCCCAGCCTGAACCCCTTTGGTGTCTGAGCACAGCTACCCAACCCTGCTTCCCACTGTGTGGAGTCAGGGTTTCCTG